AGCAGAAATTATAATCATGGACTCGAGTCCATCAGATCCAAATGAGGAGCTGTTAGTTATCATGCAAGTTATCATGCTTCTCCTAGGGATTTAACTGATCAATCAATTCTGCACAAAAGTATTCAATTGAATCAATTTCTATGATTCCAAAACCAATGAGGTATTAAGCTAAGAGGCCTCGACCAACATTTCCTAGACGAGAGAAGACCTCTGCACAGATCAATTTAATGGTCCAACGTAACGAACGCAAACTGCGCGCTGGAGGGATTTTAAGAAACATGACATAACTACCAAACTGCACAACAAGAGAAAGTGAGAAATATGTCACAATGTCTGGATCGGATTTCTCGTTTATTGTAACCCGTACAAAGGCCTCTCTTATCTAGGGAATGTTTCCTTCTCCCGTGTCATCCATAGCCGATCCTTGATTTTAGATTAATTTTTTTATTTTTGTTTTCTTAATTTTTTTTGTACTTAATAAACATTTGATCATATAGTATTTCAAAAAAGGTGGAATATAAAAGAGTCCCTTTATTAGAATCGGAGAAATAGAGCGTGACAATTTTTATAACTTCCGTGAAATTTTCCTCGAAACTTAAAAGCAATAAAATCTCCCATTTGTAATTTTGAATCAATATTTTAAAACTAATCATTTGTCAATTTCTGAATTTGATTAATTTAATTACAGTTTAAACTGATGAAAAGCGATTTTGTTGATTTTTAGAACATTACAACATTTAGAATTTGCACAAATATTTATCGAGACATTTTAAAACAGACAAATGTATTCTATTTAACTACCTTTCAAAAACTACTGATTGCAAAGCTGTTTTTTTATAATTTTGTCAGAAAAAATTAAAAGAGAAGATCTAAATTACATCATAATTACTGATTATATGGCGACCTTGTGTTTTTTACACGTATTAAAAGATGCTGCCGAATAAAAGAAATATCCACACTCAGTTTATTTGAGTAAAGTAAAGGATTGAAAGCATATTCAGAATTTTCCCTCCCCGTCTCTTGCATCCTAATCAACTTCTAAATCATCGGGAGCTGTAGTTTCAGCAAGCAGTCCTTATTGAAATACACTAGAACTATCGAATGAACTTAAACTCGCTAAAGAAAGGGTTAAAAGGCTGTAGATGAAAATAAAATTTTAGAAATTAGACCAAAAACCTTCAAATTCAGTTCGAAAAATCGAAAGCAGTAAACTAAAAACTTAAAGAAAATATCTCCTCGAATCGAAACTACTTAGATGCATATAAAACATCTACATCGTTACAGTACGGTAATGATCTTTAAAGTAATCCCGGCGAATGGTTTTGCTTTGCGTGTGAGGCTTATTCGGTTGAAGATAAGGCTGCTTGGAACTTCTGTTCACCAAAAAAATATGCCAGCTCCAAATCAAAAATTAAAAGTTTTGTACCTAATACAAAATTTAACCGTACCTTATCGAATATTAAATCTCATGATTCGCTGCATAATTAGTGACTGTTTTTATATTTAAGGAATGTTATGGTTAATGAATCTTTTATAATTAATTCTGTTATGATTTTTCACGTAAAAATCATACTTGAGATGTGTAGTAACAAACTGCCATGTTTTACGGCACCTTTTTTGACTTGTAATACCATTTACTAAACTCTAATAGTTTAGAAAATGTAGTAGTCTATATCATAATACTAAACTCATTTTAAGGGTTACTTATTGCCTCTTTATTTGTTTATTCATTTGTGTTCAAATTTTCTAAGTCGGTACGATTTAGGTACCGATCTAGGTTTTTTGGTGGTATGAATTAGGCCACTAGTTTCCGAAATCGTACCACTTGTTGACCTAGTGAAAACGATTAATTTACAGTACTTACTGTACAAATATTATTACCAGGAAAATAATATAAGTAGCTAAATAATTCCATTTCAACCATAAGATATTTCAAATGTAATTTTCGTGAAAAGTGGTACGTCTTAGGCAACTCTCTTCTAAGATCTTCCTAACAGAAAACCAAAATAAGGTACTTTTTTTATGTGATATAGGTCAAATAAAGGATTGCTTTTTTGTGTTATTAAAATTGCCTAAAAAACTTTTGCAGGGTGTGCAGTAGTAGATAATTTTTGTGCGATATTTAATCTTTAAAATTACTCCCCCCCCTCAAGAAAAAAGAAAGAAATAAGTCGTATGTTCTAAAAATCCGAATTACCCCTAACTTATCCAGCGGTTTATAAATAACTCTTTATCATTCATCGAAGACAAAAGCAGACGGTATTAAAATAACACACAGATGCAATTCTTATTAACAGACAAAGCGCGTCTGTCAACCGAAGGTGCAATATAGAATTCACGTGATGGATTCCGAGATCAAAACTTCTCCAATCTGAGCAAGCAGTGATAAGCTACCACTAAATTTCCTAAAAGTTCGATAAGGGATAAGAGAAAAAGGCGATTAATCTGCATGTAAGATGGTCGACGAATGATATATCGTTTACCACGAGCCAAGATAAAGCGTTCACTTTATCATCCGCTTTTCGATATTATCCATAGCAATTGCTTAAAATTCTTAAAACAAGGTCAAGTGGTTCTTAAATCAGGATACGAGTTCATATCATTGCTTAGCACAACGAAATTTTACTCATTTTTAATGTTTTTTTTTTATCAAATTGATAAAATATTAAAAAACACGAAATATTATGAAAAAGAAAAAAAGAACAGACTGAGAGATAAGATGAAGCAGTTTTAAGAGAAATATTTTTATGATTTTTATTAGTCCAACTTTTCTCAATTCTTTAAAGAATGGATTCATTTCCTCATTGGTGTAACTTCGGGAAGCATTAAATTTATTTTAAGTGTGTGTGTTTTTTTAAAAGAAAGCATAGTTTAAATTCCATTAAACTAAAAATTAATGTGTCATTAAATTTTTTTCTTCTTTTGAAAAATAATAGCTCAATAAAAAGAAGACATAGGTTGAGAAAAACTTGGGATTATCTGGAACTGATTAGTACAATGAAATTTTACTCATTTTTAATGTCTTTTTTTTTTATCAAATTGATAAAATATTAAAAAACCGGAAATATTACGAAAAAAAAAATCGAACAGACTGAGAGATAAGATGAAGCAGTTTCGAGAGAAATATTTTTATCATTTTATTAGTCCAACTTTTCGCAATTCTATAAAGGACGAAATCCCTCATTGGTGTAACTTCGGGAAGCATTAAATTTATTTTAAATGTGTGTGTGTGTGTTTTTTTTTTAACCTATAGTTTAAGCTTCACTAAACTAAAAATTAATGTGTCATTAAATTTTTTTCTTCTTTTAATAAAAAATAATAGCTCAATAAAAAGAAGACTTGAGTTGAAAGAAAACTTGTGATAAACTGGAAATTATTTTAATCCCTTTTTTTATATTTAATTGAAAGGATTCAATATTTGACCCTTTTAATTTGATGAACATGAGCTTCAACACCACAAAATTTTGGAATTTTTTTAGTCTTTTGAAATTTGCACAAAAACAATTATTTTACAATGAAAAAATTTAAAGCACTATATTCTGCACTGATAATGAATTTTTAATAAAATATAAGCAATATATGATAAGTAAAACAATTTATTAACATTTTTCAACAATAATATTAATAATAAATAAAATAAAATAAATAAATAAAATAAATAAAAATTGAAAATAGCTTTTTATATGAAAATTATACTTAACATAAATTATTTATCTCAACTGAAACTGCAACAGCACGTAGATTTTTAATGGTACTTCGTGATTTTGATATTAAAAAGATTATCATGTATCAGCGTGTTTGATCTAGATCAAACAGGCTGACGCACAGTGGAACATTTGAAAGTCATAGTTTTTTTAAAAAAATATCATATTTTATTAAATAGTAACTTTGATCAAATTACAGAAAATATCTAACACAAGGCAAGAGTACTGGTCCTTGATTTGCGTTTGTAATTTTTGTGACCTTGTACTCGGCGTTTGGTTTTTAAAAAGTGTAGTACAAGTTTACTAATATGTCAAAATTTACAAAGAAATTTTGAGTAACAAGTATAGTATTTTGAGTAACAGAAGTATTTCACTTTGGATTTAGCAGACAAATATATATGGCACAAGAAATGTGCATTTGAAACAAAAAGAACAATGAATAAAATAAAAAGAGTTGGAACAAATTAAAAATTGATAAACTTTCACATAAAAAAGAAAAAACCTACGAAAAATGCCATCGTTCCATTTGAAAGAAAATAATCAACTATATATGCTTTTATAATTCTAAAGGAGGAAGTAAAATTATAAATTAAATAAATTAGTAAATGGTCTATATTAGAAACGACCAAGAATTAAACGAGCTTAAAAATTTTTTTTAATCTGCATACGAAGCATTAAAAATTTCGTTTTTTAGTTAAAAGATTATGTTTAGATTTTAGTTCTGAAATCGTTTGTCAAACAATAGGGATTTTCGTTATCGTAATCGACGGTAGAAAAACAAATGTTTTAGTATAAATCTGGTTAGAAAATGTTGTCAGACGACAACTTAAAATCTTTGCATAATTGATCGGTTTTACAAACGTTTGTTATTATTATTATTCTTAATTATTTTTTTTATTCTATAACTAAACTAAATATTTCTTATTTATTACTTATTTCTTTACTTTCTTTATTTACAGTTTAATAATTGTTAACGCTATATTACTTCCAAAACAACGAAAATTTGAAAAATTTCTTTAAAATTGATTAATATTTTATGTCGATCTAATATTTTTAACTGCTCGTTTTACGAATGTGTCAACATAATAATTATATGCTTTGAAAATGGCAACAAGATATTTGTTAGAATTGTTTTCACGTTCAAGAAAAAGAATTCTATTTATAATATTCTTGATAATTTTTACATTGTAAAGGTTTTATTTGTGATTGTATGTTGTTATGCTTTCTATTTTTATTCTTTTCATTAGATTAATAAATAAATAAACTTTAGTTAATGATTTTAAATTCTTTCTCTAGATCAATTTATGCTAATAGAAGATCATCAATAATTAACTAATTCTGCAAAGTGGATATTTGAAGGTAAATTTTTTAACAATAACCTTAGCTATTATTTTTATGCACCTAAAACGTAATAATTTTTATATTTTCATTTCAACGAAATGTAAATTCTTATACAGTTAACTGAGATGTCAAAAAAAAAAGAAAATAATTATAATAATGAAGATAATTATAGTACATGATATTATGCTGTTATTCTCTCTCTAATTTTTATCTAGAAAGTATATATTTTATTCATTATTTGGAAACTATCAATAACATACACAACAAAGAGAAAAGTCTGATAACCTTAATATTGTCATTCCTTAAGAATATCAATCTATCAGTTTAAGAGAAATTACTTTGGAAACGAGGTGACTTAAAACAGCAGTAAGAATTGAGTTAGCTTTTGATAGTTGTTTACGAGGTAACATAGGGCTAAAACACATGTACATTATACTGCTCAAAATAAAAGTTTATAAAAGATTTTCAGAGTGTTTAAAAATGTGGTATTGCTAAATTGCTTAAATGGAATTAATTTATTTCATTTTTTTAAATGCTGTATTTAATTATGAACTTCTAAGATTGAATAATTTAAGACAGCTGAAAAAAGGAAAGTACTTAAAAAACGTATTTTCACTAGTACAGTTGATAATGTTTGGCGTTAATTGGATTTACTGGGTTTTTCATGCAATTTTATATGGGCGTTTTGAAAGAAGGGGGGAAAAAAACTTCGATTTTCAAAACTTTTTTACAAAAAACTAAAAACAACCCAAATTTTTGTCAGATGGATTAGAAGTGTTCTGGAAATTCACAAAAAATTAAATTCTATTATCTTTTAAGATTTTTATCACCTAATTTGTCTTCTATTGCTACCAAGAGTATTTGTTTTTTGAACTCAAATCTTTGATAGATCAATACACTTTCCACATCAATAATGGATTATCTGGTTTATTGTGAATTTCTGCTTTGAGCTAGGAATAAGATAGTTGTCCTCTTACATAGTTTTTTTTTTTTTTAAATTATACCCCAAATTTTCTTCTTTGAGTTTTAGTGTAAAACTCAGAATATAACTTGCCACAGCTGCATTAAACATTTTAAAACAATTTTTTTATTGTATATAAAAGTAATACCATGCTAAAGTATCTATAAAAGATATGTTAAAGTTAGCATTCAAATGTCGCACAACTTTCAAAGAAATTTAAAAACATTTGTAGATAGATTCAGCACATGCTTTGATTTGTCTTATTTCATTAACAATGATTGTAAAACGGTATTAAATTTACATCTTAAGAATTTATTGTTTAATAAAAATATATAACTCTAAAAAGATCAGCTATAAAAGTATAAAGGATATAACTATAAATAGAGTAGGTGATACATAGAAATATTCCAAAATCGCTCAGTTGTGTTAATAAGATAAAATCATATTGTTACCGAGCTTCAATCAGTATTTTTAAAAAAGTAATTTGATATTACTTATTCAAATATCGGAAAAATATCGTTATTTTTTACGTAATTTGCGGTAAAAAAGTTATCAGTAGCATACAAATTAGTCTTCGTCAGTATAAATAAAGGTAAATTTCAAAAAAAAAAAGAAAAATGGAATGCTCTTTTTACTAACGGAAAACGCAATCAGTTGAATAGTTTCTGAGTTATCAAATTTGACTTAAAATATCGTCTGCACTTATTAATTAGCGTATTTGAGGTCGGGCCCTCGATTCTGATCTCAAATATGCTATATCATTAATCTATATCATTAGATCAAAAGTTATTCAGCGTAAGTTATTAAATATTATTTTCGTAATGTACATACATATCTTCTTATATCATTAACTCTTTTCAAGCTTGTATTACTGTACTAATAACAGTTTAAAAATGTAATATGGCATTACTTAATAAACTGTTTAAGATTCATTATTCAGAGAAAGTACGTTTTTGTGTCTGATTTCGTAACCTAGAATATCGTCAGTACTAATTAATTAGCATTTTTATTTACTCATCTTATTTGCGCACTAAACACTAATAAACTACCTATGAATCATTAACATCATATTGTTTTAAATTTTTGTAAAGATAGCTGTTTATCCTGATTGCTATGAAGCGCTGTTATCAACATTGTTTCGACTGTAGAATTATAATTTCATAATCAAAATATAATTAAGTAAAACAAAAACAAAAAATCGAGAAAACAAAAATTCGAAATGACGAGGAGGGAATAAGACGTAAAAAAAAAAAAAAATCCTCGTACCTAATCGAGCTAGTTTGGCTTTCCACAGAAATGATTAACGTAGACTAAATTAGGAAATAAAGGAGAACCTTATTAATCCGACCTAGACGCTAGGCCAAAAAAGAAAAATTAATAAGAGAGAGAAAAAGAATGTAATGAGAAAGTCAAGTAATGCCTTCACCGGTATTATCTGATTTGCGGTCATTTTAAGGTCACGGCAAAACAGTGTTGAAAGAACAACAAGATAAAGTGCAGTAGCTTATTAGAGGATAACTAGGCGGGTTTCGATTTTTATTTTTATTGAATTGCTTATCACACTCATGCTCTCGGTTCTTGGTTGGCTGGTCGCGGACACCGACGACACAGATCTTGCGTGGACTTCGCTCCGTTGATTCTGGAAAGACGTGATTTTATGCCGTTTCACCGATTCTCATTCCCCCCCTCTTTCCCAACCGCGAACACATGTGTTAATCGAAACTTACTCTTCCTAAAAGAAAGACCAATTATTTATCCGCTCACTTGCCTTATTTCGATTTGAATAAGATGTTATTTTAGTACTGGTAGTGTTAACTCGAAATCTCCATTCAGAGAGGGAGAGCGTTTCTTCAATCACGTTGTTTTTTTATTAGGAAATGTCTCCAGTGACGTCACTGATGACGTTTTATCCGAGGTCGTCATCAACTTCTGTGACGTCTGGGAGATGTTGCCATCGCTGCCAATAACAAATTTCCTAATTTACGGTAAAGCTTGCTGTACGTGTACATGAGTTGTTTCTCGGTTTACTTATTTATTTTTTCCCCCACATTCCTTTTTTTTTTTTAGTTTTGTTGAATATTATTTTCTGATTATTTCTTCCTTAAGTAAATGAAATGCTTCGAGGTAGAAATCATTAATTATCTCAGGGTGTTATGTTTTGTTTATTTTTAAGTTAATTTTTCCGAGCACAGAATTTCCTAATAATAAATAAAAAGTCAAAAGGCAATACCAGTAAGGGGTTTTGTGAGGGCACTGGTCCGATGGAATATTTTTGTCATTTATCACACAAAATTTCTTTATAAATCTAGACACATTAAGCACTGAAGAAAATTATTCTAAACCTCAAATTTTTCAAACGTCTCTTCAACTTTTTTTTTCTTCCAATGCCCACCTGTGTCAACATTTCGTCAATTCAGGCATTTACAGGGCGATTTTGTCGACCTCTCTTTCAGGGGCACCATATTAAGTGGGCCAACGTTGCTCCCACAGTAAGGACACATAGTACAGAGGAGGAAAGAACATCCATGCCTTGCCCGAGATTCGAACCCAGAACCTTTCTGATGCAAGGGCAGTTCCCAGACCCCTACATAGGCCGGTCGGCATGTCTCTGAAACTTGTCTGTCGTTCATGTATTAAAATGAGAAATATATTATTTGTGCAGCATATGAAAGTGTTAAAAACAACAGATAAAAGAGAGGTATCGACGGCAAAATTTTTTATTTACGTATCGATGTTTAATACAATTGACAGAGATAATTTATACAATGACAAATATGAGCAATCATCCACTGATTAGATTATTAGAAAATCGTTACGCGAATAATGTCACATCCATCAGCATTTACTTGTATTTCATTAGAGAGCTTACCTTCTTAATTAGCTTTATTATTAGCTTATCAATTTAGTATAGATTTTTCACATTCAGATGCATCGAATAAAGCCGTGGTAGCTAAGGGGATAGAGCGCTCGCCTCCCAATCAGGTGACCCGGGTTCGATCCCAGCGATAGCTGGTTCATTCGAATTCCGCACCCGGCTCCTACCGACCACAGTGCTGACGTAAAATGTCCTCAATGGTAGACGGATCATGGGTTAGAGTTCCCTTACCGTCAGACTAACCGTGGAAGGTCTTCGTGGTTTTCCTCTCCATGTAACGCAAATGCCGGTTAGTTCCATGAAAAAATCCTCCACGTAGGCAAATTTCTCCCAGTACTTGATCCACGAGTTCTCTTGTCTTCTGAATTGGGTTCAAAATTACAAGACTACGGAGTTGAACATCAGTAGCTGTAAATCCTAATTTGGATCGGTTGTTTAACGACGGTTATAAAATATAAAATACATGGAAGAGAATTGTTTAATTGTAGTACATACATACGTATTCCTTTTTACTCCGAATTGGAGCATAGGGCTTCTATCATAGCTTTACATCTTACTCTATCTATGGCCAGATATTTTGCCTCTCTTATTGTCTTTCCTATTGTTTTCAATTCGTTTACAAGCGTCCTGCACCAAGTATTTTTAGGTCTTCCTCTTTTTCTATTTCCCAGGAGGTTCCAATCAAAATTTTTTCTAACTTTAAATTTTTCAGGTTTACGTAGAACATTGACCAATTTATTTTGATTTACGTATTTTTAATTTCCAGATCAATCGATTTCTGTTTAGCCTTTCTAAGGATTTCTTTATTACAACTTTTATGAAGCCACTTGATACTCAAGAATCTTCTTAAACAGTATTAAATAAATAATTGAAGATTTTTCATGTTGTTTTTTATTGCAGGGCCATGTCTGAGATTCATGTAGTAGGACTTATTTAACCTTAGTTTTGGAAATTCAAATTTTTGTTGAATTTTATATGTTTTTGTTTATCCAGAATTTATTGAAAAATAGCGTAATTGTAGTAACACATTTAAAAATATAAATGAATGTAGCGCAAAACCTTAATCAACATTCTTTTTCTCCATAAAAAAAATTAGTTGTATGAGCCCTCTTTCCTCGGTACCAAACACAAGTGTCAAAGGTTTGTTGACAAAAAGGCAATGGCGTTAGAAATTTTTTTTTT